TCTATTTTATCAGAAACTAATATTGCCATTCTTGTCCTTTTTTGATTGATATTTGCTTGATATGTGTTTTTCCATCCTTTCATTTTGGGATATTTTTATCTTTGTGTTCAAAGAGTATCTCTTGTAGACAGCATATTGATGGATCATGTTTTCTCATCCATTCTCCTACTCTCTATGTCTTGACTGGTTCTTATAACCCATTTAGATTCAGTCTAATTATTGACTGATATGAATTTACTTCTATAATTTTGCTTTGCATTTTTTGTGTGTATTGTTAATAGTTGCATGTATTTTTCTGTGGTGAGTTTATTTTGTTTACTGATTTTCTTATCATTTCATTTGTTGTTATTTTAGTGTTAACTGAGACTTTATGAATTTTTTTCTTTTTTCTTTTTGAGGTTTATTAGTTTTCTTTGACGTTATTCTGTAATTTTTTGTTTTCTTCCCAAGTTTAAAAACAGGCTATATATCTTGATATCCTCTCCATTTGCAAGTTCTGTAACTACATCATTTATTCCCTTTTACTTTGTATTTGTCTTTATTTACAAATTGACATCTCTGGTTCTCTATTTTCAATGTTGTACTTTTATTTTATGTTTAATACTTGTATATCTGGGTTGATTATCAGGTGATGTATTCATGTGTCTTAAGCTCAGGTTGTAATGTGCTGTTGTTATTTCTCTGTCCAAAGGACTTCTTTTAGCCTTTCTTGTAAAGTTGGTCTGGTTTTTACAAATCCCTTTAATTTCCATTTATCTAGGAATGTCCTAGTTTTGATATAATAAATGAGGAACAATTTTGTTGGTTATTTAATTCTTAGTTGGTAATTTTTATCATTCCAGGTTTTATATATGTCATCCTATTGCCTTCTTAAGGACCTTTGGTGGTGTAGTAGATAAGGCATTTGGCTGCTAACCAGGTTAGTGGTTCAAACCCACTAACTGCCCTTTGGAAGGAAGATGGGGCAATCTTTTTCTGTAAATATTTACAGATTTGGGAACCTAATGGGGGTCTCTATGAGTTGGAATTGACTTGATGGCAGTGGGTTTGGTTTTGGGGGTTTTTCTATCACTTTCTTTGCTTGTATGGTTTCTTCTGAGAAATCAGAACTTAGTCTTATTGATTCTCCTTTGTAGCTAAATTTTCCTTTTTCCCTAGCTTCTCTCATTATTCCTTCTTTGTCTTTAGTTTTGAAAATTTTGACTATGATATGTATTGGTGATTTCCTTTTGGGGTCTATCCTACTTGGGCTTCATTGAGCTTCTTGAATGCATATCCTCTTGTCTTTCAGGACATTAGGGAAGTTTTCTTCCAATAAATGTTTGATGATTTTATCAGTGCTTTTTTATTTATTTATTTTTTTGTCTCTTCCTGTCTGTAATGACAATCACACATGAGTTATGTCACTTGATAGTGTCCCACATAATTTTTAGACTTTCTTTATTTTTCATTCTTTTTTTGTGATTATTCCTCTAACAGATCAATATTAAGAGTTTTGCTTTCTATTTTGCTAATTTTGTTTTCCAGCAATTCAATTATAGTATTTTCTCCTGCCAAAACATTATCTATTCTGAAATTTTAGTATTAATCTTCTGGATTTATATTTGCTATTTTTGGTATGGTTTCACATTTTTCACTTATTTTATCAATTTTTTCTTGTATTGTTTTCCTGAGTTATTCTAGAGTTTTGTCTGTGTTTTCTTTGATTTTGTCTGTGGTTTCCTTAATCTCTTTTTTAAACTGCTGAAAAGACTGAAGCATAAATCTGAATTTATTATCAGGGAGTTCCAATGGCATTTCTTCCTCTGGAAGATTTTCTGGTCCTGGATTTTGATCACTTGTTTGAGCCATCTTGTCCTGTTTTTATTTTTTGAGTGTGATTAGCATTTGTCTTTTGTGTCTAAGACATTATGGTGTTATTCTATTAGTTCATTAATTTTATGTTGGTTTGCTTCACCCTGTTTTTGTTTTGTTATACTATATCCAGGCAACAGAATAGGTGTGCTACTCTGGTCACTTGTTTGGCGGCAGTAAGATGCTCACCATCTCTCCCTGGGTGGATTTTGTAGCAGATGGGAGTGTGTGCATGAATTTCTGATAACTGAACATGCAGAGACACTGAGGATAGGCTGTGCAGGCATTGGCCACCATTTCATTGTCGATTCAGTGGTGTTGAACAAGTGGTAGCATTTATCCAAAGGGTGGAGTGGCAATAGTGGTGGTTATGCCCGTGTAAAGTCACTGGGTCTTAATTACTGGAGAAAAACAGAAAAAAAAAAAAAAAATAATAATGAAGACAGGCAAGGTGGGGGGAAGAAGGAGGGGGGCAAGAAGGATGATGTAAGAAGAAAGAGAAGAAGAAAAACAGAGAAAAAGCAGAAGCAAAAGTGGCATAGTGCTGGTGCAAGCAAAATTGGTGCAAGTGCTGGCTTCCAAGCATGGCTGCAGTGGGAATGTTGCATTTGTTCTAAAGGTATATGTGCTGCAAAATGCAGAGGGGCAAGGGCAAGAATTACTGAATGTGGAGGTTGCAGATGGTGGGGCTCCTGATCTAGGCATCAAAAATAAATAAATAAATAAATAAATAAAGGGGGTGGAAGGAAGGAAAAAAAAAACAAGGGGAGAAGATGAGTGAAGAACTAAGATAAAAAGAAAACACAAAATAGAGGAAAACAAAGAGAAAAGGAAGAAGGGAGGAAGAGAGGAAAAGGAAGGAAGGAAGGAAGAAAGAAAGAAAGGGAAAATAAAGTGGGCAGTACAGGCATAATCATTAGCCACTGAACATGGCTTCAGTGTGAAGTGGAGTTCACACAGTGGGAGTGTGCATCATCTTCCACAGAGCACGAGAATGGGTGCTGCTGACAACAGAAGTGGGAATGAGTGGGGACCCACTCTGCAGGATTAAAAAAGAATAATAAGAAGAAGTAATATTAAAAATTGGCAAGGAAAGAGCAAGAGGGAAAAGCAAAGAAAAAAAAGGAGGTGGGAAGAAGGAAGAACTGGGAAGAAAGATAAAGAAAAAGTAAGAAAAATCAGCATAATAATGGTAGTGGTATAGGGTATAGGGCCACACCTCTGATCATTGGGAGGTTATGCAAAGTAAGGGAGCAGATCATAACTTTCTGATTGCCAGTCACTGATGTGGGTGCTGGTGCAGTCCTGGGTGAGTTGAACTGGTTATCTGGTTCTTGCTTTGATCAGAGCATTGCTTATAATAATTCAAAATGGCTGTGCTATGCCTATTGGCTGCTCATTACTCTGTATGCCTCCTTTCTTTGCTGTTTTTGTTCAATCTGTTCCTCTCATAGATATATGGTCTACTTCTTTATCCTTTTCTTTGAAACTCTGGTTTCTAGGATTGTCATCAGTATCCAAATCACTTGGTTTCTTGAGTCTTTGCTGTAGATGTTTTGGGCAGTGTATCAGCCTAGTCTGCCATCTTGGATCCTCCTATGTGTTGTTTTTTCATAAACCCGAAATTTGCAGTAGGTCAAGTGGCCTTCCTTCAATATTAAATAACCCGTGGTTTGGTTGGTTGGTTGGTTTGTGCCGTTGAGTTAGACCTGACTCATAGTTACCCTTCCTTGGGTTTCTGAGGTGGTATCACTATGGAAATAGATCACCCAACCTTCTTTCTGAGGAGTGGCTAGTGGGTTTTCTTTATTTCATATTCCTCAGCTTGGCATTTAAGATCCTCAGTCCAGGTCTAACTTCTCATTCTACTGTACTTGCCTTTATATAGCTTATGCTTTTATTAAATTTTTATATTCAAATGGAAACCAAACCAAATTCACTGCCATTGAGTTGATTCTGACTCGTAGCAACCCCTATTGGGTTTCTGAGGTGGTAAATCTTTACGGATGTAGATTGTCCAGTCTTTCTTCTGCAGAGTAGCTTGTGGGTTTGAACTGCCAACCTTCTGCTTAGCAGTCAAATGCCTTAGGCACTACACCACCAGAGCTCCTTGTTATATATCCAAAGTTACCTGAATAGTGGCTTTTGTTTTTCCATACTTTTATTAAGTTTGTTTCATTAACTTGATTTTTCCCCTCAACTTTCCCAATCTTTTTCCTAGTCTTTCCCCCAACTCTAAGGTCCTTATTATCAGTTAAAATCTTATCTAAACTTTAAAGGGCTTTCTTGAAAGTCACTCAAGCACTTTCTCAAATAGGCCTAATTCTTAAGTCTTTTCTTCTGATCCATGCATGTTTTAAATTATTTGTTGATATGTGTAAGCACAACTTACACTTGTTCATATTCTCTTAAAACTGTATCCTACTGAATATGTTATTTTTTAAAAATTTTATTTGTCTATGGGTTCCTCTTTGTACCTGTTGGAAGAGAGCCCATGACTTCGTCATATTTGTGTCCCATTTTTACCTGAACACTCTGCATAATATACATCCAATAAACATTTGTTGAAATGGCAAAAGGCCAAAATTATTTTCTTGAATGCATGGCACAATTTCCTCCTACTTCTCATCGATGCAAAATATAACTACTCATGGGAATAATTTGGATTCTTTTTTTCTGAATCCACAGATCCCTGCAGATAAAGTATCTTATGAGTATGTGATTGCAGATGTACTTGTTTAGTTATGCAGACACTCAAACTGTGTTTTGATTATTTTAATTGTCTTATTTCAACACAGAATAATTTGTTCTTGGCCTTTCATGAGTCCTTGATAGCTGTTAAGTAGATTAAAAAATTAAAAACAAAAACTCAAACTTCTTTAGTCTTTTACACTCAAATGGTGTTTCTCTATTGGGATAGAAGTGAATTAATAAAACAAATACTATTAGAATTTAACTTTTAAATTTAAATTGAAGTCAAAGGAATGGCAGGATCTTAAAGAAAGTTTCTTCAAATACACATTTGTTTGTAGAAACATACAGATGTTTAGATAAGGTAAAACTTAAGAATTTCCCCATTATTTGACTTAATTGAGTCTCTTACCAAATATAATTTACATGCCATTTTCTTTTTCATCATTTTGTAGCTTTGAAAGCTGTATTTGATGAGAAAAGCCTGTTTCCCAAGGAAATTCTGGATTGTGAACGAAGAGCCAAGCAATTATGTCAGGAAATAAGTAATGAAGTGAAAATAAAGAAAAATAAGAAGAAATTATAACTGAAAAAAATATATATCATTTAAAGTGTGTATATGAAGTGTAATAAAAAAGAATGAAGATCTGCCTCTCTCTTTTACTTTATATCTGAACTTTAGGAAGTTTAGTTTTTAGACAATAATTTATGCTGCTTTTATCCATCACCTTTCACTTCCTCCATATTTTTAATAAAAGAAAGTTTGGCTTAAAGAGAGAGCAATATCCAATGGACTAATGGACCACGGGAACCTCACCCTACATGACCATGAGATGAGAAGAACAAGATAGTGTCTAGCTCCAATGCCAACCACTCAGAAAGGGATAAAAACTGGAGATTCTAGATAGAGTGGGAGAAAAAATGTGGAAAATTAAAAAAAAAAAAAAATAAAGACCAGGTTTACTGGTGGAATAGAGACTGGTGAAACCCCTGAGACTATGGCTTTGAGTCACTCTCTGGGTTTTTAATTAAACTCAGTCTTATGGTTTAACTCTCCACCCTACTATAGACAGGCCTATAAGCTGAGTAACTAACCAGGGGATACATTCCTTAGAATATGTTGTTGTTGTTGTTGTTATGTGCTGTCGAGTCAGCCCCAACTCATAGTGACCCCTCCTTGGGTTTCCGAGGCAGTATCACTACGGAAGTAGGATTGCCCAACCTTCCTTCCAAGGAGTGGCTGGTGGGTTTGAACCACCAGCCGTCTGGTTAGCAGGCAAGTGTCTTAGCCACTATGCTACCAGAGTCCCCCCTTAGAATATAGGAGATCAGAAGGGCAGCATTTGCATAGGCAGAAAGCCGGGCAGGCAGAACTGCATAGGCAAGAAGGACACAGGAAAAGGGTTACCACAGGGAGGAAGTGGGAAGAGAGCTGTTACACTGTGGGGAATGTAATAATATTACAAAACAAAATGTGTATGAACTGTTGAATGTAAAGTGAATCTGTTTTGTAAAATTTTACCCAAATCACAATAAAAAGTTATAAATAAATAAATAAAGAGAGGGCAATATCAACCAGTATAATTTGTTCTCAAATGTTTTCAAATAAAATATTTATTATTCAAGACAAATTATTATGATCAGTTTTATTTCTGATTGCTTCTACAGACAAAGATTTTGTGTTCAATTTTCACTGTAAAGCCCACACAGAAATTTAATGAGAAGTACTGACTAATGTCTACAAACTTGAATATGAGACTGTTCCCATATATTAACACTTTCAAGCTTTAAAAAATATATTTAATTATAAAATCAGCAATTAGGTTTTGTTTAGATCAGTCTTTCCTATTAATATTTATTGACTCAAAATTGTTCCTTGAAGTACTTATTGAAAGAGTACTTGATATGGTCCCCTTCCATACTTTGTTATACTGTATTTTAAAATTGAGTGGCATGGGACAACCAAAGAGGCCTTAGAAAAAATCAAAGCACTTGGGGGCTATATGAAAGATCCACTCAAGGTGGAAGATCAAGTAGTAAATACTCATATTTTAAAACCTACTGCCCTGTTTATCACCCATTTTTTTGTATAAACATCACTATCCAACAGGCAACCAATATTCTTATGCTATTTTATTTTTGTGGCCTTTTGAAAATAATAAACTGATTCATATAACTTTAGTTAGTTGCTATGTATTTTATGTTAGAGTCCTTTCAAGAATATTTGTGTTTTAGTAAGAATTTCACAACAACACATGCTTGCTCTAAATACAACAACGTCACGATGCCTCGGAAGCAACAGACCATCACAGTCCACACAAAGAAGCAGGATAAAGTGGTAGAAACAAGGGAGCAGGA